GCTGGACAGTGGGCAGCCAGAGACAGAGAGACACACACGCGCGCGCGCGCACACACACACACACACACACACACACACACACAAGCACGGGCGAAGGCGAGAGTTCCCTTGGTGGGGAATATTACCCCCAGCTGCCACTGTTCCATACAGCATGTGTCAAATAGGCTTACCTTGGGCAACTCTTCTCACCTCATCCATCTTATTAGCACACTGGAGCACATGCATACAAATAAACATACAGCTGAGCTAACGGTTACCATGGTATCCAGGCCGAGAGTCAGGAGCATAAGAAAGAAGATGATTGCCCAGAATGGAGAGAGGGGAAGTCTGGTCAGAGCCTCCGGGTACACCACAAATGCTATGCCTGGACCTTGGGTCACACACACACACACACACACACACACACACACACACACACACACACACACACACACACACACACACACACACATACGTGTATGTACATGTACATATGAAATTGCAAAATATGTCTCACTAGATAGTTGTCCAGAAGTATTGCACTGAGTCGTACTAGCTAAGATGCTGCATGCCGGTTTGCTATCCTACCTTCATCTGCCACCTCGTCTATTGGCACGTCCAACTCATGTGCCATGAAACCAATGACAGAAAAGATGACGAAGCCAGCAAAAATACTGGTGGCACTGTTGGTACATGTCACGATGATGGTATCCCTGTAGGTGAAAGAAAGGATGGAGGAACAGATTTTTTTTATTTTGCACAGTTTGTCTGAAAACAACATGGTCACTGTAACCAATACTAAAAACAAAGAGGAAAACAAGTCCAAATGTGAAACGTTTCACAGGACTATGCAGCACCAGATACACACATGGAAGATACAGGAGCGCCCTCTGCAGGCAGGGAAAAAGAATGAACATCATCTCAACATTGAATATGGTATGCGGTTTTTTGGTTTATTTGTTTGTTTTTTTATGGAGTGAAAACGACATACATCTTCACACCTGAGACTAATGTGGTCAAAATATTTTATGCAAAAAGCTTCACGGTGCCTGTAAAACTTCTGTCATCCTAACAAGCGCGTCGTCCTACGGTGACAGTTAGAAGTCATTTGCCAGAAGCATAGTTTTACCTTTTGTGTGTTTACCTGTAGCAGTTATTGTGGAACTTATTGTAGGAGGAGAGCGTGATCAGGCCTCCCCACGCGGCAGACAGCGAGAAAAAGATTTGAGTGGCCGCGTCTTTCCACACCTAATGGAGGAGACGCTTCACATTAGGCCCAGGAAGGAGAATCAAACTTTTGAGGGGCAGTTGAGTGAAAACACCAGCCTGCCAAGATCATTGCACCTTTCCATCCATCAGTTTCTCCCACTTTGGTGTGATGAAGTAGAGGATACCGTCAGCGGCCCCCGGGAGGGTCACGCCTCGGATCAAGAGAATCACCAGAACCACGTAGGGAAAAGTGGCTGTGAAATACACCACCTTTCAAAAGAAGTGGCAGGAAAAGCAAGACACATTCAAAGACGGTACAATATACTGGATACAGACAATCAGTACGCACTGTGGTGCAACATATTCAAAAGAAAATCATGAACATGCTGGGAATGACGACATAATGAGCAACTTAGGTTTCCTCTCAGGATTAGTTTTGAGAGGATGCGAGGCATCATTTTGTCCACAAGAGGCCAGTATGCTACAAGACTGCCGATATGAACGTCCTCGAACATTCAATACAGCAAATCGAGGGGAGGGGTGGTCATCCGAATTCCGGGCCGGTACTGCTCCCCCTCCCCCGCCCACCGCCCCCTCCAGGACGGTCCTGGGCACCCCCCACCCCCAGCGCCCTGACCCCGCAAATGGAATATGTTGGCAACAATGAAGTCAGGCTCATATATTATTTAAAATCCAGGTTAAAAACTACCGGTATTATTTTTTTTTCACATTCTTTTGATCAAGCATTTTTTTCTTTTTTTTTTTTATTTCATTACGCGATCTTTTACAAATTTCCGAAACCAAAGTTTTATTTTTTCCCCTTTGCTTTCAAACAACTTTAAATCTGTTGTCTGTAAATGCTTTTGACGGTTGTCATTGTACATTCTTTGCCTTTGAATGTCTTAACCAATTGTGTTTGTAAATAGTTTCGCGTGTTCCGTTTTTTCTTCTTTTTTGGTTGTGCGAAGCACATTGAGTTGACTCTTGGATGAAACCTGCTATATCTAAATACATTTGTGTTGTCTTGCCGTTCTTTCTTTCAAAACAGTCCCTTTGAGGAAACTTATGTACTTAAAGGTCATTGTAAAAACTCGACCGCATCCTTGTCTGCCGTGTTTTCCCCATCATGACAGAGTCCAAACAGCAGTAAAGTTACCTTTCCTGATGTCTTGATTCCCTTGGCCAAAGAGGCGTAGACAATGACCCAGGCCAGAAACAGACAGCCTGCCAGAGGCCAGCGAATGTCTCCCGGATATTCAATGCCTTTGGAGATGTGCAGCACATTGTACCTGCAGGACGAGTCATCAAATACCAGCACACAACAACGCTCCACTGTCAATACTGTAAACAGTTTTCGGCTACATTGTTCATCAATATAAAACAATGGGAGGGGGAAAAAAACATCACACGCCAATGGTGACACCATTGTTTTCATGTTTATACTTTGCAAAAATAAGCACACCACCTCCAACATTACGTTTTGATGCTTTACAAGTGATGCTTTAGTCGGCCATCTTTATAAAGGCAGTGCTCCCTTCCCCTTGCTAATTGAGGTACTCATAAACAAAAGACTACAAACACCATATGATAAAGTTAGTTCTGCGCTATACTGCAATATAAAATCATAGGAGTGACATTCACAACTGAGCATTGCTATCTTTGTAAAGGCAATTTTTTTTGATACAGCTCTGGAATTGGATCTCAGTGAACAAAGAAAGAAAAGATCAATTGCACATTTGTTTGACTAGAATGTAAGTAAGTCTTTGCGTTTGTAAAGGATACAAGAGAATATAAATCGGGACATCCAGAAGGACTGTAAAATGTGCGATACGTTCACATGACAGCCTAAAAAAATAGTAGCTTTAAGGGACGCACGTCAGGAAACACACATTTGCGTTGATGATTTTTTTTTCCTCACCAGCTAGAAGCTTCACTCACTTGAAGTACTCCTCACTGGGGCTGACATATGTCTTTTCACCTTCCACGGCCATGTTTAATAGTTTACTCAGGTTTCCAACAACGTTGGCAGACAGACAAAAAGAGGAGTTCTTGATGGAGGTGAAGTTTCCATCCTGCACAATGCAGGAGTCTGTTCAGAGAAGAAACCAAATGCTTCGGTTACATGAAAAGATTTCGGTCGGTTACCTGGATTAAATCCCGACCTTTAGTGAACCCAAAGAACATGCTAAAAGGTCACAAAGAGTACAAACCCCAATTCCAAGGAGGTTTGGATGTAAATAAATGTACATAAAATCAAACTACAACGATTTTCAAATCTTTTTCAACCAATATTCAGTTCAAGACACTCCAAAGACCAGATATTTAAAATTCAAGCTGATTAAAGTGATTGTGTTTGTTTTTGCAAATATTCTCTCATTATGAATTTGCAACATGTTTCCCAAAAAGATTTGACAGGGCCAATAAAGGACGGAGAAATTTGGAGAAATGCTCCAGAGGTGGGAATTGGAAAAGGGCCTATAATAATAAACTTCAATCCTGCAGGTGGCGCTGCATTAAAATTCAGCATCACTGTGGAAAGGATATTGTCACGTGCGGATCGGGTACACTTCAGAAAACCTTTGACAGTGAACACAGTCTGTCGCTACGTCAACAAATGCAAGTTAAACCTGTATCATGCAAAGCAAAAGCCGTACATCAAAGACATCCAAAAATGCCGCTGGCTTCTGAGATGAACTGAGGCAAAGCATGAATGTGCGCTGTGGTCTGACGAGTACACACTTCAAAAAGTGTTTTGAGGTCATGAATGTCGTTTCCTCCGGGCCAAAAAACATTTAATTGTCATCAACGCAAAGTTCAAAAGCCAGTATCTGTGATGGTATATGGGGGGTTAGTCCCCATGACAGATTTTGGAGCGACATAGGCTGCCGTACATGCAACTCAAGTTGTACATCAAGCAAGATTGGGAAAGACTCCACCTACATAGTTTTAGCATGCGTACTGAGTGTTGCTAAAAAAAAAAAATAGGTGATGTAACATGGTGGTAAATATGCCCCTGTCACAACTTTTTAGGAACGTGTTGCAGGCATCAAACTCATAAAAAAGAGTTGATCACTGCCAACATTTGATCTCTTGTCTTTGTATTCAGTTGAAAATAAGTTGAAAAGCATTTGCAAATCGTTTTTGTTTTTTCTTCTTTTATTTACACTTTACCCATTGTGCTAACTATTGGAATTGGGGTTTGTACATCGTCTGTAATAATGATCAGCTTGTTTTACTCATAGATGATTACAGATCGTAATTGGTTTGACATCTAGCTGTTAGGTACTCATGCCATTCTTAGATTTTTCATCTGTTCTACCTGTCCCATACACCGCTGGCACGAATAAATATATACCCAACATGATTTGGAATAAATAAGTCAGTTTTGCACCAGTTAAAGCAATTGGATGATTATCCACGATGCAAGCACTGGATTTGAGAGATGAGAAGAGCGTTGTGGTTGTTTTTTTTTTAACTCACGTTTCAAAACAGTTTTGTACTGTTTTTGAAATGAAAATAGGCTTATTATTTTTTTCATCCTGCGTATAACGTCGACACGGATGTTCTGGCTGAAAAACCGGGACAGCAGCATCATGGAAGAACATCGCGAAACAGGGAGCAGAACAACAGATTTGGCGAAACAATGTTGACGATGGAAAAACATGCATGGAAGGTGCATATTTTTTCATTTGTTGTCATTAGCTTTTTCGACATTTTTGTGACTCGAACGTTACTGAATTACGGAGGCTCGGTAAGAATCTGGGTGCTTCTGCTATACTTCGGATGAGCTGTGACAAAACATCGAAGTTTAACAAGCAAATAAACGCACACGCAAACACACAGTTGTGTCAGAGACATTAGACACAAACTTGTCATAAAATGTGTCTTTTATAAAGGAGTTCTGGTCAAAGACAGACATTTAAGAGCGTGTGCGTTCATGTTTTGGTCCCACGTTTTGGAGAAAGGGTGCCTGCCACAGCATGTAGTACTTCAAACTGTCAGACGGGGTCAGTGCTGCGCACACTGCAGCACTGCAGCAGCAGCACTACAGTAAATATGTCAAGCAAGCAGTTTTTTGTGCTGATCTCACACAATTTCAAGAAGCAAATATCACGAGAAATTCGTTAAATTTCGATACAAATTCAACACGGGCTCTTTTCAATCACACGCCTTCACATTTTACAGCAGCCAAAACGTTTTTCTTTACATGCTTTATGAGAAAAAAAAATTGAAATGAAGAACGTTGCAGCTGCTGCTATATTCTTAAAGCAAATTAATCTCCTTTGGTAAAGTACAGAATAATAAATCGATATTATATGTGGTCACATTGAGGTTGTCTGTCAAGTCAAAAGTCCAGAAATTTTTAATTTACAGGCTATGGAGGTGCTGAATGGAAACCGCAGGTCAGACTTGATTTTCTGCGGGACACCTCGACTGAGAATCGTGACGCATTGCGTATTGTGCACTGCGTGTCTGTGCGTGCGCGTGAATGTGTGCAGACGAACAGTGAATGTGTGTGTGTGTGTCTTACCTAATAGCAGCATGTCTTTGTCTTTACAATCCACCGTGTTCCACGCATTCCTACAGTTAGCCCATGGCAGTGAGCCCTTCAACGAAGCGAACAGGTAGTACAGTGTCCAGCACATAATAATATTATAGTATATGGCTATCAAGACAGATATTATCAACATGGCAATCCCGCAACCTAAAATAAATAAATGAGACGAAATATATGAATTACTCTTAAGGAAGTGAGTATTCTGAATGCTGTTTCAGTTGATTGCAAGGGCCAGTGTACCTTGTAGTGCCGGGATGCACTTCCACACCGACACGGGGCCCTGGCTGGCAAACTGGCCCAGGGACACTTCTAGCAAAAAGATGGGAATGCCTGCGATCCCCAGCATTGTCAGGTAAGGGATCAAAAATGCACCTGTGAGGGACATACATACACAGGCTACAGAAAATTGCAAAAAGAATAGGCTACAAAAGAAAGGCAAATATTTATAACAATCGGAGATCTGCACAGGGTACAGAAAATTGCAAATACATATACTGTATATAAAAATTAGATCTAAATAATGTATATTATTGGTAATGAATATATGTTAGTCCAAACGCGTTATTATTATGTTAAAATATATGAGAATATTTTTCTATCAATCATTTGTGCAGTTATAGGCCTTATAAGGGATGTTGTGAATATAAACTTTTAAGTTTCGTTGTTTGGGGCGGTGGGGGCGGGGTCAGCATGCAGACTGCTATTTTATGATTTCTTCGATTTCGTGTTTCCAAAGCCCTCTTACCTCCACCGTTCTGGAAAGCAAGATAGGGAAACCTCCACACGTTCCCCAGTCCCACTGCATAGCCAACCATGGAGAGAATAAAATCCAGTTTATTGGACCAGTTTCCCCTGGCCTTGTTCTCGTCGCCTCCCTCATCGTCATCGTCTTCAGCCTAAGAGGAGAAAACGACGAGATCGTTTCAAAATTATTTCTTAATTTTTAAAAAAGCAAGTCCCAGAGGCCCAATATATGAGAGCATTTTTCGAACGAATGAACACCTGTGCGGTTGGAAACAATTAGCCCACAAACTGTAGATTGGTGCCAGTGAAACGCTTCTACGAAAACACAGTTGCTCTCAAAGAACATTTCAAAAAAGTTTCACTCATCACTGAGTGTAGCAAGTCAGAAGGAGGAGAATTAATCCGCAATCTCATTACACACCCGCATTGAAAAAAAAAATTAAATATCGCGAGATCAACAATTCCTCGTGTCACTTGACACATACACAAAAGCGTCTTGCTTCGCACAAATCTTTGTCCGGTATTTGAAAAATGCCTTGGACAACCACTAAACACGTATCCTTTCACGCAAACTCCAGAATGCTCAGATGAATAAAATGTCCATTGGCCTTTGCAGCAAAGACGAAGCATTGCCCAGCCCGAAGGCAACCAAGCATTTTGAGACCAAAACTCGTCGCGATTTCGTTGCATAATATACGTTCGGTTTGATTTATGCGGAAGACATAACCACAAGTTCGCAGCAGCCTGCCGTAAAGCATCAAGAACAAAACATGTGAATTCAAGTGGCAATCTGCAAGAAGCATGCAGCCAAACGTGTCTTTTCGCGGACTTACTCGAGTCAAGGAGCCGGTTTGAACAGACATGTTGCCATCTATGCCCAGTACGACGGTGGTCTGACTCAAATGGGTCCAGGTGGAAGCGGTGTTGTTCTGCTCCGCGTACTGCGCCCCAACCCCGCAGGGCGCAGCCGGGGGCTCCTTCCCAAAGGCCGAATTGGCCGTCATCGTCGCCGGGACGACAGGGGGATTGTTTTTGAACGTCCCGTATGCTTTATTGGCGTCCGGTGCTCCCGGTATATTTTCCGTGGGGCAAAAAGTTTGGCTCTCGTTGCACGGAGGCGGCGGCTGGGGCGCCGGGTGGTTGTGCTGAGGAGTGGCCGGCTGAAGCGGGTTGATTTCGGCTCTGCTGGCTGTTAATCCCGCAGTTGTGTCCGGCTGCTGCGTGGGGATGTGGGCCACCGGTTGTTTGGCCATGTTTCTCTGCTCGTCCTGGAACATGGAAGTGGCGGATGATGACGACAAAGTGTGGGTCACAAGTGCAGAAAGTGGCAGAATGACGGTTGGGTGCAGCCCATGTCGGCGCTGGGATGGGGAAAGTGCCTCTCTGCGACGTTTTGGGGAAGCATTCTCTACTCACGGCTCAGGTCTGGACCGGCTGTGTGGGGATGTGTGTGGCTTAGTGGGGGGGGGGGTGCTTTGCTATACCCCCCCCCAACCCCCTCTTCTGTCGTTCTGCAGGATTCTTTAATTTTACGGCCCATTTCCCCTCGTGTCACTGCACACACACACCCACACACACACACACACACACACCCACACACACACACACACACACACACACACGCACACACACACATCCAAGATTTTATTTATTTATTTTTTATGGGCAATAGACAAGCTGCTGCGGGTCTCAGCGGCTTCGCTCTCCCGGGCAAGCATGCACGACCACCGGCATCACTATGGGTTGACCAGGGGCGCACAATTCTAAATGACTATGCCTGGAAAGGAAGCCCCTTCGGGCATATGATCAAAATGAGGGCTGTAAAAATATGAGCGAAAACTGTTGTAATTGCCCAGCTAGGAGCTCACGCGACTTTCTAGAATGACTAAATGTCACTAAATTACGAAGTTGCTAAAACCTGCGTGGAGAGAAGCAGTGAAGTCAAGTCCGACTGCCTGGCGGATTTCAGCACCACCGACAGCGCAAAGAAATCGCACAGAGTCCAACAGCGGTGTGACAAAGTCAAAAGTATCGAAAAAGAACGTGAAAGCAGACTCAAGGAGGGCTGTTCGGAAACACTTACCATTCCGCGGAGTTCTCTGAACAGGCTCAAAGTGTTGTAGGTGGAAATGACGAGTGATGCCAGCGAGCTGACTTGCTCGTGTGCGCGCCAAAGCAGCGCGTGCACCGATTTTCTTTCTCGGGTTCCGTGCGTCAGTGCAGAGCAAGGTGCCCTTGGCGGGGCATTTTCTTGATAATAGCACTTTGATAAATCATTTGGCCTCGTGGATTGGGTGTTTTTTTTTTTTTTTAGGAACTCGCCCAGGCGAGATGACAGGATGTGCGTGTCCACGCGTGGATTCGACGCGATTGTTACGCACGCGGTTTTAATACGTGGACGCCGGGCGCGTGCATTTAAAAACGTGTCACATGCACTTCCATGCGCGCACTCTTGATACCTTCGCGCTGACACGTGAACACGCATCCACGCCCACAGCATGTGGCATTGTGGTCAAACACTTACACCGAAAAAAAATACGTTTTATGAGGATGACTGGCGAATATTGGTCACATCCGGGACTAAATAAAGTTAAAAAAATAAACGTCAATATTTTTAAACATACACGACAGGCCTCCTCTGTGTTCCAACGGAAACGTCGGTCAACTTGGGGGTCTCCATAACGATCGTAATGTGTTCAAGTCTTTCACAAAAGGCGGTGGGGTAGTACCCTAAATCAATCTGAAAAAGTAGAGCCTGCGCGTGAGGCTGTGACGACGAAAAGTACCGTGTTAGATCCTTGAATGCTGCATTGCGCATGCAGTCCCCAAGCTTCCGTTTAAACAAGAATACTTTTCATGAATTGCAACAACTCCCCCCCGCCTCCCGGATTTTTCCAACAATCGTCGTCCACCGAGGAAGCCCTTCCTGCAGCAGCATGACTTCAATTTACGCGCCTTGTGTCTCAGCGAAAATACATTTCGCGTTGTTATAGCGACCACACGAAGCTATTGTCGCTCATGACGGGAGAAATTAAAAACGGGACGTTTGTCGTGATAATTCTTGATACTCTGAGACATAATCGCCCGTTAATCTGCACTGTGATAGTGATTTTAACCACTGGCCTATAACAGATGCACCCCCCCAAAAAATATTGTGTGTCATAATGCTAGCTTGTTGGATATATACTGTACTGTCATGTTTTAACAGCTCACGTGCGGCTAAAATAAAGACAACGTGTTGTAGCCTACATCATTTCAAACAACTTCGACAAATTAGCCTTTCTTTTTAATTTAGTACGTTTACTTTTCATCAAACATGACAATTATTTTTTGTGTAAACTTTTCACGTACCTTTTGATCACCCACATGAAGGTCCCAGTTAAACCAAAGTTTGCGGCCCATATTTTCTTTCAGCGAGTCAAAACGAAAAATAAAGGCCTTAATGAAAGAAACGTGTGTCAGAGGCGAGGTGGCTTGGCGTCTTTTATCACAAAGATTATTCGGACCGTGGCATCACCCCGTTTGTTCGTGCATGATGAAGAACAAACATTCACTGTTGGATCGTGACGTATCCGATAGATGGACAACATAGAACCCAAAACGGAAACTTCAAAAGAACACCCGTTTCACCCCCATCCTGTCGCTATCGGCATCGAAACATCAGTTTATACAAATTGCGACTTTTGAATGGATTTAACCCCCGCCCCCCCCAACACACACACACACACACACACACACACACACACACACACACACACACACACACGCTCGATGCAGTAGCTGCAAAGACTTAACATGCACGTTGCGCTCCTTCCAAATCTGTCTCCGTTCCAGATAAGGGACTGGAACCGCTATATTAGCCTTGACTTTAATTACATTGTCAACTTGGAATAATTGTAATTGATTTGTGGCCTTACAAACTCTTTCTCACACACACACACACATCCGCACGCACACGTTTGTACGTCTTACAAAATTGTTCTCGTCTCAATGCCCTACAGCTCTTTTTATTTCTTTAAACAATTCTTGCAAAAATATTAATTTCGAATTATTCATAAAATTTGGTAACCATCCAATATCTTTTGAGAATAACGAGAACGTGTGTCTTGACTCTACCTTTGGGTTGGTGCCGCTTAATTACTCATGCGTCGATAATTAATGGTTCACTCCCACTGTCGCGTGGGTGATAAGCAGCCGCATCCACCCAATGCGCCTGGAAACTCGTGATTCAATGGTGGAGGTCACCCAGAGGGCCCCAGACTCCCATCACCACCACCACCATCATCATCATCATCATCATCACTCTCAGCTGACAGGGACCCTCACTTACAATGTTCTCTTTGCTCCGCTCTCCTTACAAAGTACGTCTGACCAAATGTATGAAAGTGCTCCGACAGCCTTTTCTGAATTAAAACAGTTTTCACCGTTCAGGTGATGAACACATTTTGAAACATCATTTATCAGAGCGCAGTGTTGCACCATTCTGATGGAAATTTACAGCTTCAATACCATGCGCCAGGGGCGGAGCTTTGTGGTAGGTAGGGGTGGCTATGCCCATCCTATGCATGGCCCAATGTGGGAACTGACGACTCGTATCAGATTGTGGGGAGGATAAAATGGAATAAATGTGGACATGTAGTCTTCTGTACGACAGTGACGTTATTTACCTTTACCAAAACGGGATGAAAGTTTGGATGGGGAATGATAACTGAGCTCTCCACATCCTGTCACTGTTAACATAAAACACATTGACAAGGAGAATATTTGGCATGGACAATATTTGGAAACGTGTTCTTTATTACAAATCAGAAAAACAATCCGAACATGGCCGAATGCATGTTCTGCTTCCATACAAACAACAATGTCATAATGTAAGTTACATCATTGTACATTATAGGTCAGCTTCCGACCCCGGAGTTCAAAGGTGACCAACAGTGATCGTGGGTCCTTTTTGTTTTTGCGCAATGTGATCTTTCCTTGAAGCTCCTCCCCTACAAAAATGCAAAACAGAAGACTCAGTACATTTTCAATCGAACATGAGTAGTTACGAAGAAAAATGATTGAATGTCATGCTAAATAGTTCACACAAAAATAGGAGAGCAGAAGTGCACGGTCGTAGATGACCGCAATGCATTCAGATGGACAGTTGTTTTCCCCATGACTGCCGACATTCATGTGCATAAGGGCTGCGCACGAATTAGTGGCAACTCACATTGAGTGGCAAAAAAAAAATGCTGAATCAGATTTTTCAAATCCGAGGTCACAGTGCGTCATAGCATCTTGTCGTCAGAGAGAAATGCTTGAATGGGATGTCCCATCATCTTACACGGGGCTTGGACAGGAGCGAAAAGGGACGCGGGTGCGACATTTGAGCAAACGCTCGGAAAGGGTTGTGCGTGTATAATTCGAGGAGAAAAGTGAAATACAACTTTGTGAACGTATAATGAAGATAAAGCATGACGCATAGATAGATTTAAACCAAACATATGAACTATTGGCGATAAACATTAACGGCCCCGCGGCGGTGCTGAGCTCAGACCTCTGCAGTATGAGCACCAATGCACCGGCGCCCACAGGAATGATGATGCGTGTGAAACGCAAATGCGGTTCAATGTGTGTTCATAAGCGCCGCCGCCTTGTGCCTACATTTGCGCGGGGGAGACGTAGAGCCTCCACTCGCCACGCGACACGCTTTTCGTCGCCGGAGGTTACACGAGGGTGTGGGGAGAAAATGCTGAGCGGGTGGCTTTCGCCGGCGTTTGCCATCATTTCTGTCACGTCGCCAATACCAATGCTTCTGTTACACAAGTCCTCGCTGCTGGCGCCGCACTTTGGGTCCGTCACTCCACTGCAGAGAGTTGGTGACTCGTTTCTATTTCCCATAGAAATAATGGGTCCTCTCTACTGGCAATCAAACGAAGATCACGTTTTAGTTTGGACTCCAGCATCTTCCCTTGTGCTCATGTCTTCTTTCCAAATGTATATCGTGGGCCTCTGCGTTTCGAGGCCGTTCAAATAAGGAGTGGTCTTTGTCATAGACCAGCTGGATAAGGATGACAACGGAGGCGAAGTTTCACCAGTGAGTCGAAGCACAGTTGAATAGTCCAACGCCTCGGCGCAAACAACTGCTTCTCTCTGGTGAACACAAAGTAGGTAAAACCCTGAAAGGATGACCCTCCTCTTCAATCGCTGAGCCACACAAACACGCCGGAGCATGACAAACGATTTGCTGTTGAATTTATTACGCTGCCAGCCAAAAGGATCTGCAGGGATGTTTTGTTCCAGCCTGCTGCGTGCGCGCGTGCGAGTGCTCACTGGCGCCGGCGTCTCACACACAAGCGCATCCCGAGAGTTAATTACTGTTGCATTCGTAGCGACGCATCAAAACGGATTTGCTTGCCGCCGTGATGAATCGGCACGAACCGCTGGAATGTTCACGCTTGGCCCTTTCCTACAGCCAATCGGAGCCGTAGGCCATGGCAGCCAAAACACACGAGGTGGTCACGATGTGTTTTCGTGTCGTGTGTGCATAGACATTTTCATCAACTTCAAGGTGACTTCAGGGATTTTTTTTTCCGCCAAATGATAGTTTAGTGAAGAACTATGCAAGAACTCTTTTGAAGTTAAGTGTAAAAAAAAAAAACAAAAGGAGCTTTGTGTGTGTTATAAAGTATACCAAAGACCCTATCAAGTGAACAGAGAATGCTGTTAAAAACTCAATTTCTGGTTTACGGCCCCTGGAGGAGGTTGAGGACCGTCTGGGTGGCGAGCTGGAGAGAACGCATCAATAACCTGCTGCTCTCTCCCTTGCTCACATACGACCGGGTTAATTCTCTTGCCTCTATACGGATTCACACAGCAGCACCCATACATTCTCATGTCAACATATACAAATGCCCAAGCCGAAAGTCATTTTCATTCGCTAAAACTGCTGAGTTTTGACTGACACGATCGGAAAGGTAAAAAAAAATATTTATACTGATAGTCAACGTTGTCTCGAAGCATACGGTGACACTGGGCTGCCCCCCCCCCCCACACACACACACACACACATCTACAGTTAAGTTAAATTCTGACCAACGTTAAACATATTTAGCTGCACAAAACGGCAACCTATTGCTGCAAGGCCACTTGACAGCACCGCTAGCTACAACCACAACTGCAAATTTGAGGGGTTTTAAAAGGCTCAGACTTGGCTTTTTCCTCACGAATTTGCATCAACGGCTGTGGGCATTCCCCGAAGCAGTAAAGAGTAAGCCACAAGAGGAGAGGGCATCACAGCGTTTTGTGCAAACAGCTCATGTGAACAAAAACAATTCCACCTGATTTGGAACACAGTGTGGAATTCTAAAATCACTTGTAAAAGAGGCTCAAGCGATACGGCCATCAAAGTACGCTCGGTTTATAGACTTAATGAAACATTACTCTGCAACAAATTTCAAGCTTTTACACACACACACAAAAAAAACCCTGCAAAACTTCCTCCTATTGATATATTTAAAAGAGTAAGAGAAACCCTTGCGCAAAATGATGTAGCAAGAGTACGGGAAAAAAAAGCACCATAGGAGTGCGGCAAGACTTGAGATCCTTCAGACAGCGCAGCAGTAAAAGCAAAAATGAATTCATATAGTGTATTACTAGTCGAGCTCAGTAAAGCTGTTGCCAATAATTGCGGCATCCGCAAATGGAATTTCAAACACTGCCGTGTGAAGAAAAAAAAAAAAATGAGATTTCAGTCAGAAAGCCTCTGTGGGCCAGTCTGAACGTGAACAAGCTGACAGGCAAGCGATGGTACCATGAGCACCAAACGTTCCTGTGCTGAGCTCAAACATGTAAAACCCAGGAGACAACTACCGTCATATAAATGCAACATTTCAAAATTAGCTGTCCACACACCAAGTCAAACTAAACGTGTAACATTTCCAAAATTGCTATTACGGTAATGTGAAAATTCGATCAGGTTGTAAACTTTTCACTTCCAGTCCTTTCACATCCCTGTCAAGCGCAACCGCCTTCATAGATCATCATTTGACCAAATCGAATCAGTTCTGCTCTGCACATTCCTACTGCGGGCACGCCGCTATCATACGTTCGTCCGCCTGCTCTCGCATTCGGCTGCTGCGATCCGACCAATGACAACACCGAGTCTCCGATCGTGCTTGAACTGCGACAGAGGTTTTGAAGTTTTTATCGTGGCGCTCGCTGCCAGAGCGTAGCCAAGGGCTAACGCAAACCGAGTGTATGCCTTCCCCCACGGGCCATTTATTACAGTAGGCTCCATCAGATATCCGGTCAATAAGTGGACAGTTTTCCCCTACGGTCCAT